AGAAGAAGAAGAAGAAGAAGAAGAAGAAGAAGAAGAAGAAGAAGAAGAAGAAGAAGAAGAAGAAGAAGAAGAAGAAGAAGAAGAAGAAGAAGAAGCTCTTCCTCCACCCCTGTCCAGTTAAGGGCTCTTCTGCCTCTTATCTGACTTGGCTTTGTCTCTTGTCCCAGTCTCCCAAGGTCTATAGACTATATCAGGAGTCCTCAAACTTGTCAACTTAAGACTTGTGGACTTCAACTTCCAAAAGTTGAATAGCTGACTGGGGAATTCTGGGAGTTGAAGTTCACAAGTCTTAAAAGTTGCCAAGGTGGGAGACCCCTGGCTTGTATGGAGATAGAAAGGCAAAATAAAACAAACCAGCCACTGGAAGCTACGGACAGGTCAAAAGAGAGAGGCGCCCACTAGTGGCATCTTAACATAATGAAAAGGCGTTTCTGGGATAACAGACTTCACGCTTGCCCATGCAGGGAACAGGCCTACCTGAGGACGTCGGAAGTTTGATTCGAGTCAAGAGGGTGGGAGTGTTTGCTGTGAAGTAGCTCGTCCGATTGCACTGAAGGCACGTGGAGGTGCAAAGAAGCCTTGGAGAAAAAGCCAAAGCCCAGAGTCAGTGCTCAGCGTGAAGCTCATGTGACCCTTTATCCCCCAATTCAATCTGCAGTGGATGCTCCGTCTATGGGACGAAATCTCGGAATCTTCTGTGCTAAGTGCCCTCGGTTACCACCATCTCCTAAGACTCAGGGCTTATTATCCCTTTGGGCACAGAATCAGGGAAAGCAGCAGGGAGCTGTACATTTCATGCACCTGTTTTACAGGTATGTTGTAATAGATAGAGGATACTTCTTTTCTGCCTGCCATACTCAATATGTCTTCCTTTACTATCCTTTCTTTTCTCCAGTCTCCTTTCCTTTCTTTCCGTTCTCTACGTTGCCTCAATCTTCTTTCCTTTCATTCTTCTCCTCTCCTTTTCTTTCTTTTCCTTCCCCTCACCTCCTTTCCTCTCCCTCCCACCCTCCCTTCCCTTTTTTCTTTTCCTTCTTTTCCTTTCCTTTCCTCTCCTCCCTTCCCATATCTTTTCCTTTCCTTTCCCTTCCCTAATCTCTTCCCTAACCTCTTCCTTTCCTTTTCTAACCTCTTCCTTCCCTTCCCTTTCCTCTTCCCTTCCCTCTTCCTTCCCTTTCCTTCCCCTCTTCTTCTTTCCCTGCCCTTCCTATCTCTCTTCCCTTTTCCTTTCCTTTCCTTCTCTAACGTCTTCCTTTCCTTCCTTCCTTCCCTCCCTTCCCTTCTCTAACCTATTCCTTCCCTTCCCTCTTCCTTCCCTTTCCTCTTCTTTCCCTGCCCTTCCTATCTCTCTTCCCTTTCCCTTTCCATTCTCCTTTTGTCCCAAAAGTATTTTCCTGAAATGAAGCAGCTTCTTGGATGAGAAACAAAACCTTTTTAAAAAAAAAACCAAGATAGTCCAGTTGCCTTTTTGGAAAAGCCCTTTGGGCACCAACCTGACCTGGATGATTAAGAATCTCCGTAGCCACCCTTCTCTCCTTGCCTTGTTTGCCTACCTTCGTCAAACACCCCTCCTTCCTATCCCCACGGAACAGGAGCTCCTTACCTTAAGAAACAGGGGACACTGATTTTGTGCTTGAGGACAGGCCGACCAAAACCAGTCAGGCAACGGACCTGCTTTAGCGGTGGAGACGAAGTAGCCGAGGGCCAACGGCTGCTGCAGGATGTTGGGGACTTCGTCGTGGGATTCGGTGGAGAGCAGCCGGTCTGTACCTTGACCCTGATACGAGCAACAGAGAAAAGGGGCATTTAGGATCAGCCTCAAAGGGATATAGTTCAGCAATTCAGCGTTCTGTTTTAGCTAGGGATCAGCTAGTTGCTCCTGGGAAGCTTACAAGCAAAACACGGAGAGCACGGGTGCGCACACACACACACACACATACACACACACACGTTTCCTTACCCCTCCTGGCCACAGAGTCTATAGCCATCAACAGCCTCATCGCCTAGAAATTTGTTAAATTCACCTTGAAAAGGATTTAAGTTACTCACCATTATCCTATATTCTGCTGGTCTATTTCATCAGGCAATATGTGAGTTTAACTATCGTATTTTTCAGAGCATAAGACGCACCAAGATATTGAAGAGGTCAATTTTTTTAAAAAGGTTTTTGCACTCCGCAGACCTCCCAAACCCTCTGCATGCCTCATTTTTTTTTTTTTTTTGGTGAGAAAAATGGGGCATGCAGAGAGTTTGAGAGGCCTGCTCCCTGGGGGCAAAAACTAGCAAAAAACGGGCCTGTTTTTTGCCAAAAAAGGAAGCATGCATAGACTTTGGGAGGCTTGTAGAGTGCTCCTGGAGGCGGGGCGGCAAAAATGAACAAAAAACAGCCCGGTTCTTGCTTGTTTTTCCCCTCCACAGCCCCCAGGAGCATTTTGCAGGCCTCCCAAACCCTCTGCATGTCCATGTTTGCGAAAAACGGGATGAGGTTTCGGGAGGCCAAAAATGCTGTATTCAGTGTATAAGACGCACCCAGATTTTCATCCTCCGAAAAATACGGTATGGTCTCAGTGGTGGGATCCTTGCCAGTTTAACAATCGGTTTGGTGATCGCGTGCTTCACGATAGAAATAGCACTCAAGACTTATATACTACTTCGCAGTCCTCTCTAAGCAGTTTTACAGAGTCAGCCTCTTGTCCCCAACCATCTGGGTCCTCATTTTAACTGACTCCAGAAGGATGGAAGGCTGAGTCAACTTTGATCCGGTCAAGATCGGACTCCTGGCAGTGGGTAGAGTAAGCCTGCAATTCTGCATTCTAACCCATGCACCACCATGGCTCCTATTAAGTATTAAGTATCTGATAATAGTTTCGGTCTTGAATTAATCTTAATATTAAAAGAAACCTATAATTGTATATTTGATGTTATAAGACCGTCCCCCGTCCCGCCCACGAGTCTTTTGAAGTGGATGGCCATAACAACACCATCAAAGACTAGCAATAGCACTTAGACCTCTATCTACCGCTTTGCAGCCCTCTCTAAGCGGTTTACAGAGTCAGCCTCTTGCTCCACCCCCCCCTCCACAATCTGGCTCCTCATTTTACCGATCTCGGAAGGATGGAAGGCTGAGTCAACCTTGAGCCGGTGAGACTCAAAGTGCCAAACTGCTGGCAGTTGACAGTCAGCAGAAGTGGCCTCCAGAGAGCGGTGAGAATCGTTTTAGCTGGCATCTGATGACTAATTATTAATATTCTTGTTTGACTGTACCGCGCTAGGCTGCCAACTTTTTTATCCTGCTGTTGTGGAATCACACACGTTATTTGGGTTTATCTTTCTGCAAACTTCTCAGTGCATCGCGTTTCTTTTTACAGGTAGTCCTTGACTTACAATAGTTTGTTTAGTGAGCGTTCGAAGTTGCAACAGCACTACAAAAAGGGACTTGTGACTTAGAACTGTAGCAGCCTCCCCAGAATCACATGATCAAAATTCATACGCTGGGCAACTGGCTCGTATTTATGACGGTTGCAGTGTCCCCTTTTGCGATGTTTTCACAGCCAAAGTCAATGGGGAGGCCAGATTCACTTAACAACTGGGTTACTAACTTAACAATTCCAGTGATTCATTTAACTGTGGCAAGAAAGGTTGTAAAATGGGGCAAAACCCACTTAACAAATGTTTTGGCCTAGCAACAGAAATGCTGGGCCTCCATTGTGGTCGTAAGTCAAGGACCCGCCTGTATGAATATATCCTTCCCATGTACAATCCCATAAATGTGCTATTACATTTTCCCTTATTCCCTCTTTCTCCAGAACAGTATTTGCTTGTGAGGAATGATAGTTCAACCTGCTGATAATTTTGATTGCTATTTTTGCCACTGCCTTCAGCTCTTTATTTTCCTTTTAACATGCTGCAGCATATTGTAAGGGTGATCATGTTTCTACTGTATTTTTTGGAGTATAAGACGCACCAAGGTTTTAAAGAGGGAAATTTTTTAAAAAAAGTTTTTGTACTCTGCAAACCTCCCACAAATGGGCCATTTTTCGTGAAAACGGGCCTGTTTTTTTTTTCCTCCAAAAAAAGGGCATGGATAGCTCTTGGGAGGCTTGTAGAGTGCTCCTGGGGGGGGGGGGGGAGAGCAAAAACGAGCAGAAAACAGGCCCATTTTTTGTCAATAAAAGGGCATGGATAGCCTTTAGGAGGCTTATAGAGTGCTCCTGGAGGCGGGGGGGTGGGGGTGGGTGGAGAATTGAGCAAAAAACGGGCTGTTTTTTGCTCATTCCCCCCCCCCAGCAGTTCTCTGAAAGCCTCCTACAAGCTATGCATGACCATTTTGGTGAAGGGGGCAGGGTTTCAGGAGGCAAAAAATGCTGTATTCAGTGTATAAGATGCACCCAGATTTCCAGTTTCTTTTTTGAGGGAAAAAGGTTCATCTTATACTCTGAAAAATACGGTACTTGAAAATAACGTTGCATTTAATTTCTGGTAGCTAGAATGGCCTATCCCTGCTCCTATCTTGATAACAACATGGAAGTTTTGTCTTCTTCCAGGGTTCTGTTTTTCGATTCCCAGAATCAATCAATCAATCAACCTTCCTACCTACCTACCAATCAATCTATCTGTATGTGTGTGTGTTTGTGTGTTTGTGTTCCAGCATAACTCTGGAACGCCTTGAGCAATTTCAACCAAACTTGGTACACAGAATGACTTACACTCTGGAAACAAATACTGTGGGTGTACAACACCCCTAACACCTCTCAGGATGTGTGTTCTGCTAAGATACAGCCTGTTGTGCCTTCAAATAACTTCTACCGTACTGCCGTAAAATGGCTTCTACTGTACAGCGCAGTAGAGTTGCCATGGTAACGGCTTCACAGTACTCCACAAGAGGGCTCCCACTTTCCTTGACGCTTCTGGGGGGGCATTTGTAACTAATGTAATTGTCGTCAGGGCTTTTCCTGTCTAATACAGGATTAGGATAAATAAATATCCGGGCAATGCGTGATTATCAACTAGTATCCTATAAGCCTAGAGATTTAGGAGTTGAGCAGGCTGAATTGGAGGGTGGGGTTAAACATGTCACCAGTTTGGAATCATTGTGCATCCACAAGAGAACCAAGGCCAGCCCTCCATGAATTACACTGACCTTTATCTAACGCCAACTGAGCTTTAACTGTTAACTGATCAGATTCTGTTGTATAGGTGACAAAAATAAACTCTTAGTGTTTTGAACTCCACTCCTCTCCCTGGTTAATTGCGGCCTATAGGAGGTTTCCCACTCAAATGCTTACTTGGTGGAACCCTGCTTAGCCTTTTCAAGATTAGCTCAGCCACCTACTATGATAATCAAATTATAGTTTTGTAGATCTGATCTTCTGTGAGTCCCTTGGACTGCAAGGCCATCCAACCGGTCAATCCTAGAGGAGATCAACCCTGACTGCTCTTTAGAAGGCCAGATCCTGAAGACAAAACTCAAATACTTTGTCCACCTAAGGAGAAGGATGGACTCCCTGGAGAAGAGTCTGATGCTGGTAACGATGGAGTGCAAAAGAAGAAAGGGATGACAGAGAAGGAGGTGGCTGGATGGAGTCACCGAAGCAGAAGGCGTGAGCTTAAATGGACTCTGGGGGATGGTAGAGGACAGGAAGGCCTGGAGAGATGTTGTCCATGGGGTCATGATGGGTCAGACATGACTTCATAACTAACAATGTTTGAAAAAGTCAGGATGATCACACATAAAGCCATATTAGGATATTGTCTCAAACCCTTCATACAGGTAGTCCTTGAGATATAACAGCACTGAAAAAAGTGACTTATGGCCATTTTTCATACTTAACGGCCATTGCGGCCTCCCAGCGGTCATGCGTGATCAAAATTCAGACGCTTGGCAACCAACTCCACGGGGTCCATGGAGGTCCACCTCCATGGGGTCGCAATGGGTCAGACACAACAGATCTGATCACCCTGCCAAGCATAATCATCATTACTGTGAACCTGTAAGCATTGACTGCAGGAGCATTTAAGTGTTCTGAAGTAATCCCTACATCCAAGAAGAAATTTCAATCAGGTCCAACAACAACAACAATTGTTTTCTCATGCAAAGTTACCTTGCCCATATCACCTCCATGGGTGAAGTGAGAACCTGGTGAGTGAACAGGGGATCCCGTTGGGGACGCAGGAAGGATGCTTATGATATCAGGATCCAGGTCATCCCCAGTGTCCAGCAAATCAAAGATTCCCATTCCATCCGCTCCATCTTGAAAGAAAAAGATTCACAGAAATAGAAGAAAAAAAAAACGTTGACTAAGAGGAGCAACTCACATGGTTGATTTTTTTTTTTTAAAAAAGAAGAAAACATACACACATCCATTCGAAGTTAGCCCCAATGGTCGTAAATTGGCTGATAGATTTGATGGGATTTGATTTGATCTGCTGTGACGTGGATGGTTGCCCATCTTGAAACAATTCTGAGCAGCTCAATAAAAGAGCAATAAAATTACCGTATTTCTCAGACTATAAGACGCATCAGAGTATAAGACGCACCAAGATTTTGAAGAGGTAAACAAACAAAAAAAGTTTTTTGCACTCTGCAGGCCTCCCAAACCCTCTGCACACCTCATTTTTTTTCTGAAAAACGGGGCATGGAGAGAGTTTGAGAGGCCTGCAAAGTGCTCCTGGGGGCTGGGGAGGGGATTTTCACCCTCTTTTTTTTTGGGAGAAAAAGGTGCGTGTTATATTCCCAAAAACACGGTGTTAAAAACACATAACAAAAACTAACAAACCTGGCACTTTAGTCAACCCCCATCCCCAGGTTATAATGCTACCACAGTGCCTATGTGAAGAGCCAGATTTTTATTGGCTTTCCAGAAAGCTAAAGGAGGGGGGGGGGTGTATTCCATAACCAGCTGTGGTGTGTTTCCAAGGCCAATTCAAGATGCTGCCCTACATGGCTTGGGGCCCAGGTTCCCTAAGGAACCATCTCCTCCCAGTCCTTTCTGCATGCCCAGTTCCATCTTAGCAGAATGGGAATGCTGCAGGTAACGTCAGCCAAAGTGTGAGGACCAGAAAATAGGCTTTATGCCTAGTGGTCCCTGCTCTAAGGAATATTTTCCCTTCGGAGATTAAAATGGCTCCAACCGTTAACTGTGTTCCCTTAACCTGGGTGATGAATGTTTCAAATGCCTGGTTCCTTGGCTGTATTGCTACTAGCCAAGTATCTTGGCTGCAATTTATATTTATTTATTTACTAGCTGAATACCTGTGCTCTGCAACGGAACTATGTGCTCGGGCTTGATAAATCGACGCTTACAACTTAAAAATTTAAGTAGAAGTTACAATTGGCCTCTCCTCTCCCCTTCTCTTCCTCAGGCTTGCCCCACAGAAGTGTCTCCTATCCTATCCCCTTCTCTCCAGAGTTATTTTCAGGTTTGGAGGGGGAGTAGAATGTCTTAACTCCTTAGCATCAGAGCATGTTAATAATAAGCAATGGGTGGAAACTAATCAAGGAGAGAAGCAACTTAGAACTGAGGAGAAATTATATATATATACGTGGCTCTTCTACTCGGGTGCAACTGCCTACTCTGATGTAACTCTTTTGCTCAGATGCAGCTAACCAGGAAAGTGGCAATGATGACATTGAGTGGGAGTGTGGCTGAGGGTCATGGTGATTGGTGATGGTGGGTGGGTGTCATCTGGGTGGAGTTGTGGGTGGAGCTGGGTGGGGTAATGGTACAATATATATGGGTGATGGTGTTAACTTGGTTAGAACTGACTTGGATTTGAATTTACGAGCCTCGAGACAAAGTTCAAAAGAAACCCCTTCATTTATTAGGATCAACATTCTGGTGTCTACTCCTGCGGAGCCAAAACTGCTTCCGCTTAATTGCGTTTGAACTGTACTCCTCTATCCCCTCCCTTCTGTCATGCGTAATAGATCATATTCACGAACTAGGTTGTAGNTGGCGAACTTTTTTCTAAAGGTGTGTCAAAATTGTGTGTGCATGATATTACACACGTACCCACCCAATTTTGCATGTGTGCATGATTCCCCCTCCCCATGCATGTGCACATCTCCCCCACATGGGGGTGAGGTTTCACCATTCCAGGCTTCAGGAAAACCTCCAGAGCTTGATGAGGATGAAAAACAGGCCCTAAGGTCAACCAGAACTTCCTGTTGGCCCACTGGGACTTTTTTCCACCCTCCCCAGGCTCCAGAGGCTTTCCTGAAACCTGGGGAGGGCAAAAACAGCCTCTCCTGACCCTCAGAAGGCTAAAAATCAGCTGATGGTTGCCATGCCAGCAAATATGGCTCCTTGTGCCACCTGTGGCATGCGTGGTTTTATATGCATGCATTGAACTGGATGATGGCCATTGATTTGTCCACAGTCTTCATTTCCAATTAAGGCACCTTTCCTATCATTGCCTAGAAAGGTCAGAAGACCAAGTATGATCTTCTGCATAGAAGGTATATCTGCTCAGCCACAGCCTTTGTACATCTGCTCTTCCATTGAGTGCAAGTTCTGCTACATTCGGGATGATAGAAAGCTTCTGTTGTTTGCTGCAGTGCTTTTGGGTGGGTTCTTTATAACCTCACCATTACCTTGACCTTAAACTAATGTTGCATAGAGCATAATAAAATATTTATCACACTCTATTCACTTTTTGTGTGTGATGTAGAGCACATCACAATCGAGTCTGATATGTATTTATGTAGTAGTATGTAGTATGTATTTGCTTTGGTGGCCTTCCTAAGAAGCAGGCAATTGCAAACCACTTCTAAAACCTTGTCAAGAAAACTTCAGGGACTGTTCCAATGCAGTTGCCAGGAATCAACCCTGATTCACAGGCATGGACACGAGCACCCACACAACAGAGATACACTAAAATTCTCAACCACAAAACCACTGAGATAAAATCACACAATAGAACATGGCTATATCAGAAAGCAAACATCTCTAAAGTACATTACATTACATGAGAATCTAACAGTTCCCTTTATATCAGAGGCCACCAATCTTTTGGGCAACAGGAACTGGTTCCGTGGAGAGAGGTTTTTCTGCGGACTGGGGGAGGCATGGTTTCGTGTGCTGCCTGCATCCCAATGATAGGACTTTGCTTGTTTGTGCAACCCTGTTTCTGGCATGTTGTAGCCCGGTGCCAGTCCACAGACCCCTGCTTTATAGCATATGTTTATAGGATTTTATTAAACACTTAAAACTATTTTCTTTGTAGCTTGTATTTACATTTTAAAACTCTTGTCCAGTTTGCATGGCTACAAAGATGCTTAGAGGACTTCAGATTAGGACTTCATTCTTAACTTCAAAGGAATGCTTTGGATCTTCCATGGCAAAAAGTACAACATCTGGTAGCTATTTATTAAAGCAGCCCCACTTTTTAAAAGGTACCGCTGCTTTAATAGTATTGCTAACTTTAATGAATCAATTTTAAGGAATTCCCAACTTTTCAGAACAGAACTCTGGAATAAAAAAGAGGGGGATGCTGTTTGAAACTTGCCCAACCCTACCTCAAGTTCCCTGATTCTCAAATTGTAATTTAAGGGAGCCACAAATATACTGCTTAAATCAATTCCTCTTAGTTGAATTTTTGGTGTAATGGTGTCCCTTTGTAGTGGTGGAATTACAAAAACCAGAATTACCTTTAGAAAAGCTACCCCAAATGTATATGGGAATCCCTTTTTCTTTGAATGTACAATAATGTGAGAAGATGCACTTGAAAGAGGCCTGTCCTGGTGTCCATCTTGCACAATGGTGAAATAAATAAGAATTACAAATGTAGAGATAAAAATATACATTTGTGCAGAAATGATAATCTGCTTAAGCAAACAAGCCCCTTCCAATCAGAAGCTTCAGATATTCAGTCCTAAAACACCAGGATATTTCCTCCTGTTGCGTTTCTCAGTCTGAAGCATGGATTTAGCAGTCTTCTTAACTAGCCGGCACCAAGAAAGTCTATCTTCTGTTGACATCCTATTCCACTCTGCTGGCATCTTCATCAGTCGTACCTGCCATTCCTTTATAGGCATGCTATAAATCAAGTAGCAGACTATTTGCCAGCCGTATCTCTTGTTACTCTGCATTCTTAGCACGTTGCCATTACTTTGGCAGCTTTCAAATTCATTGTGACAAGTGGTCTAACCACTCCCAACCCACTGTTCACTCGCTAAGGATTCTGAGATTTGTAGTCCCAACATATCTAAAGCTGTATAAAGACTGATCAATCTGCCTACTTAAAGGTCCTATTGAAATAGTAGGACTTACTGGCAGGCAAATGTCACTACGTGAGATGGACAACAATGTGTGTGTGTGTGTGTGTGTGTGTGTGAGTGTGTGTGTGTGTGTGTGTGTGTGTGTGTGTGAGAGAGAGAGAGAGAGAGAGAGAGAGAGAGAGAGAGAGAGAAATTTAAAAAATTAAAATAGCAGGTACTGCTGCCTTCAATATTTACTGGCACTTGGTTTAATTCTATACCTAAACATCAAGAAATATCAGAAAAATAAGTATGTGAAAAATAACAAGTTGTCTCTCTGTGCTTCAACCTTATCCTTTACTGGACAAATGAAATTCTCATATTGCAACAGCATGGGATATCAAATCCAAACAGCACATTGTTATTAACTGAAATTTATTTTGTATACTGTCAGTTAAGTTATTCTTTGACAACTTGAGAATGGTAACAGTGGACAAACCAATTGAATAATTATGTGGCAACTATTCCTGGTCACTTTTTAAATTTGGGTAGTTCTATCTTCTGATTTCAATAGAGGCTAAACTTAAAAGGGGCTATAAGGCCGCATGTAGCATATATGAATGGTAATAGCAATAGCATTTAGACTTATATACTGCCTCATAGTGCTTTATAGACCTCTGTAAGAGGTTTACAAGGTCAGCATATTACCCCCAACAATCTCAGTCCTCATTTTACCCACCTTGGAAGGGTAAAAGGCTAAATGAACCTTGAGTCAGTGAGAATTGAACTCCTTGCAGTGGGCAGAGTCAGCCTGTAATACTGCTTTCTAACCACTGTGCCACCACAGTTCTATATGACCTATATGAATGCTCTTAAAGAACCACAGCCATTCCTGAGCTATGCACACTAACAGTGCAGCATGCTGCTTTGGTAGCTTGGGAAAAAAAATGTTACTGCTTTAAGAGTCACACTAACTTGAATGAATGCCCATTTTCTTCCTAGTACTTAGTGAAACCAAAAAAAACCCAGATCACTTTAATGACTAGCATAAGCAAGCTGTGCTCACATACAGTCCTAATATTTCTGAATTATTTTTGAGGCATGCATAATTTTATTCTCTCAAAATTGATACCTGTAACATTATTGGTGAATATCTGATATAATGTTTCTGATATAGTGTTTCCGGTTTAGTTTAATGTAAAAACATTCCATTCCATTCTACTGTTTGCAA